CCAGCTGGCATGGGAAAAAAGGGAGAGTCAGGTGTTTCTCACCTGTCTCAGAGCCATTCAAGTAATAATGAATTCTTTCATTTTTTGCTTATTTTTTATTATAAATTTAATTAACTGTAGAGATAGTGTTTCTCTGGTCCACATTTGCTTTGTGTCCTCAGTACAAAGATGCCCAGTACCAAGTAAATGCTTAAAAAACATTTGTTGAGGCAATGAATATAACTGAATAACAGAACAAGAAGAAGTAGCTAATTATTAAAGTGTTAACTCAGGGAGACCTTGTATGCCATATGAGAAGATCAAGGTCTTCCTGAAATCACAGACCGGCTTAGTGACATAGACCTTCAGAGGTGTCTGACTTCACCACTTTACTTCATGCACTCAATTTGGGAGCCATTAGTTGCTTAGCAAGGATCACCAATGGAAGAAGAGGTCTTGCTCTGGAATCCTGGCCAGTGGGGTAGAAAGGACTGTTTCCTAAAGAGCCACGCAGCTGCCGAGATGCAGTCATAACCAGCAGTCATGTCCAGTTACAAATGCACCCGCTCCCCCACACGAGTCCACACGCTTCTCTGTCTCCCTACCTGCTGGGTCTCCTGTAGGCCAAGGCACTGTAAACCACCCAACCTGCCCAGCAGTGGGAAGACATGGCCTTGGTCCTTTAAAGCATAAGTCTATGTGCCAAGCCTGACATCAGAGAAGTGGTCTACATAAATAAGCCTACCTCCTTAGAACCTCCCCAAGAGCTTCTCTCCACTTTCTCCTCCACATTTCCTTTTTGGGTTTCTTGATGCTCTGATTCCTTCAAGTCCCTTCTCAGAAGGCTGTGATGTGACAGAGCATATGTCATAACATCAAAGAGCAGAAAGAGACATTGAGATGTAATTGGAGTCAAATCTTCCCCGTCGCAGATACAGATGCATTTCACTAACCTATGAGAATCTACCATCTATATGATTTGCCCTGGGGACAGAAATTCCATGACCTTTCATAGAAACTCAAGTGCTTGACAGGTTGAGGGATTTAGTTCTCATCCCACTGAAGACAATGATGCATTTTTTGATTAAAAATTTCATTAAAAGTTTAACAACATTAAAATAATAAGTTATCAGGGGATTATATTAAGGAATTAGTGCTACACAGCAATAAAGTAAGAATATTTCAATATTTTGTGTTCCTGAATGTGAATGTCAGGAAAGTGATTGTTGTTTGGAGTCTGAAAACCAAACAAGGAAGTGGGTCAAGTTGGAGAAAGCATATAGTTCATTGATTCTTCTGTTTTCAAAAACTACTTCAGTGCAATTTCTATCCTCCTGTTCTGTGAATAGATTAGTAAAAGAACAATTATTCACCTGTTTCACAAATTAGGTCATCAGTATATCTGGAAAGCACAGGTGCCCACTTCTCTGGGTCTGCTCCTGGCCGTCCATTAGTGTCACTGACAGGTTCTACCAAGCAGAGTACATAGATACCATTCCTCTTCACCTGCTGCATTCTTAACTTCTCTTCTATCAGGGAGCCACCTGTTAAAGTATACTGGGTTTCCTCCTCTAAAGAGTTTATTTTTAAAAGATATCCTATACAAGAAAATTTACAAGGGAACCTATACATCTATATATTAGGACAATTGTCCTTTTGAAAATAACTGAATTATACCCAAATTATAAATTGTCAACTTACAAAAGCTAAACAAGCAGTAACTGGTCTATTGTAAAAGTGTCATTGATCAAGATGTCATGGATTGCTCACCAGAAGAAGCAAAGATGGAGTCACTGCCTTCCATGGAACCTCTCCAATGCCACAGGGACACCACACATGGGGCTCCCTCCACAGCAACCTGTGACAGGTGCCGGGAGAGGCCTGGCGATGCCAAGGGAAGGAAAGGAGAGATAACACCCTGTCATCTGGTGTATAAACTAGGGACAATTTCACCAAGAAAGTGGAATCTTCACCTTAAAAGACAGTAAATATTTTAGTATCTTTTTGACTGAGAGAAGAAGGAAAGCCATAATTCAGATGGGCTTCAGCAAAGAAGGATTTTTATTTCCTATGACAAGAAGCCCAGAGATAGAGAAGGCTCTGGGAACAGCGTGGTAAGCATCATGGTCCCAGTCCGTTTCTCTCCATTTTCTCCTCCGTTCTTGGAGGCACTTTTGCTTTGTTGGTTACTGGCAGTTCACACATCCCACCCAGACAAGTCCAAATGATGAAGAGGGATAGTTTCCTTCATTGAAAAGATAAAGCTATTAGCAGTAGATTGCCTTTGCATCTCACTGGCCAGGATTGAGCTATTTCAAGTTTCCTGAACCAATCTCTACAAAGGAAAGGAAGTTACCAGACTTGGGTTAGACAGCTCAGACCACGCAGGGGAGTCACCATGGTGAAGCCTAGTTTGGAAATAAATAGACAAAACTGGAGGGTAAGGCACTCCCTGTGAGGAAGCCATCATGCACAAAAGCAAGGAGACAAAGTACCAGGTGTGAGAATGGAAATGTGAACATGCGTAAGACATACAGAAAATAGAAAGTGGAGATGGGGAAGAGAGAGAAGGAAAAATAAGATTAAAATGTATTACTTATTCACCATTTGTATGCCAAGTCTTATGCCCAGAAATTTACATATACCATCATATTTACTCCCACAATGACCCTTTGTGAGAGATAGTATTACCTCAGTTTTACAGATGACAAAATTGAAAGTGAGAGGGACTCCAAAGATTATCCAAGTTCACAAAGCCAGTAACTTGTGGAATCAGAATTTAATTGCAACTCACTTTGATTCCAAAATTCATATTTCAAGGGACACAGACATCTAACTCAAAACTGAGGCATGTGGAGAAAGCACCAAAAAATAAGACTAGAAAATAATTGGGCATGCATTGTGGAAGAATTTAATACCAAACTAAGGAGTTTGGACTTTATTCTGTGGGCCAAAGGAGAAAATCCCTGAGTGAAAAAAAGAAGTCAAAATTAGAATTGTATAGTATTTTAGAAGGCATGTTCTGTAAGTGATTTGGAGGATGGATTATGATGGGAAATCAGACAACTAAATGACCTAAGAAATTCTGGCAACAATCTGGCAAAGCATAACAAGGACTTGACTTAAATTGATGGTAGTAGAGCCAGGGAGAAATAAAAGATGAATTTTATAGGAATTTGGCAACTGAGTATAGGATATGGGGGATTAGAGAAAGGGAGGATGGAAGATGACTCAGAGCTTTGGAGTCTTGGAAACTGGACGAAGGGTGGCATTATCCACATTAGAAAGGACCTCAAGGAGAGTTGCTGGCTAGCGGGTGGGAGGAAAGGCTGGACATTGCTGCTAACTTCTTAAAACTGTCCTTGAGCAATGCCTTGATATTTAAGACAGCAAAACAAGAAAGATCAGTGCTATGAGCTGCAAAAGAAGAAACACACTAATTAGTTACATTTTTCCACCTTCTCAAATCTATTGCCAATTCCCTTTCCTTGATCCTGATATTGTACAGCACTTTATGAATTTTAAATGGAATAAAACACATGGAGAAAATGTAATTTCACTATGTCTATTTTGCTACTTGTTGATAAAAGTTTTTACTACAGGAGAGTTTGCCAGAAGAAAACCTGAGTAAAGAAAATTGAAATTCACAAAAATAAAATGCTGAGGATCATGCAAAAATATCTCCTTCCTTTAAAAACAAATGACCCCCCAAATAATAATAATTAATAATAATTAATAATCCCCTCAAAATATGGCTTAATTATAAATACAGCCTGAAAAAAATTTTACCTGAACAGTGCATAGCAATCCCATTTTTTACATACTAAAGTTGCATTAAATGAAATCACCCTTTTTGTTAAAATTTCATTTTTTTCTTGTTTTCCTTAGCTATTATGATCAGTGTTAGGAAACCCACAATTTTATAATGTGGCTCTTAAATTTAACCCAACTTGTGGCTCAGAAGCCAATCAACAAAAGAGTTTTAGCTGATTGAGCAAAGTTATAACGCAATTATAACTTATTATAAAAATAACTATTTTTGGTACATTGGCACATATGCTATATTGGCTTTCCATTGCTAAGTAACAAATTACAAGTCAGCAGCTTGAAACCCATTTATTGACTCACAGTTCTATAAGTCATAGTCCCACATGGTAAGACAAGCTTCCTTGCTCAAGATTCCATAAGGTTGAAGTCAACTTGTTTGCCTGCTGAGTCTGGCAGTTCTGGGGGAGAGTCCATATTTGCTGTTAGCAGAATTCAGTTCCTTCCACTTGTAGGACTGAGGTCTGCTTTTCCTGACTGGCTACGTCCAGCTCCTGGAGGTCATTTTAGGCTCTTTCCACGTGGCCCCATAGGCAGTTCACAGTCTGATATTTGCATCTTCCAGGCTGACCAGAGAGACTCTTCATGGTTTCTTCTTTTATTACCAGCCAAGGAAACACATTGCTTTTAAAGAACTCATATAATGAGGTTAGTTACCCAAATAATCTCCTATTTTAACATCAACTGATAAGTAACCTTAAATATTTCTAAAATCCCCTTGCCATGTGAAATGACATAATCACAGGAGCAACACCAGAAGACAGGCATCATGGGGCCATCTTCAAATTCTGCCTACCACACATGCTAACAACTGGGTCATAGCTACTAATAGAGCTAATTTTATTCATTTTGTATTGTTTATAATAGGTATTACAGCTGTTATGAATTCCTGATGAATTCTGAACTTGTCCCTTTAGTTATTTTCTGATATCCTAATCTATTTTTTCCTTTTTTTTCTTACTCCATTTTATTACACTTCTGTTTTTTTCTCCTTCCTTGTTCATCTTTTATCCTTTCTCTTTCTCTGTTTTCTAGTAAAAATACTTCATTCTTAGCACATTTTTCACAAAAGTGCTCTGTAATTACATGTAATATATTCTGTAGGGTCCCTCATCAAAATCTCGAAGACTATAGAGAAGCCCGGATGTTGCGCTGCGACTGGTAGGCTGCTGTGGGAGGCGGTGGCGGTCGAGGCGGCAGGGGACTGAGGTGGAAAGTATTTAACTCTCAACAAATGAATTCTACACTTGAACTCTGCTGCATTCCTGTGCCACCTCCTCCTTTAGAAAACTGATCCAGAACAGAGATAGGCAAATAGAAGGTAGAAGATGCTGGGATCTGAACGTGGTGTTGTGGAAGAATGCTTATCAGAATTCAAGGCATTACCTGACACTCAGATCACCAGTTGTGCAATAACTTTACACAGGAAAAAAACACTTGTACCAGCCCTTTATAAAGTTATTCAAGATTCATATAATGAGATACAGCCTCCAAGAGTGCCCCTGCTGTGTACTAGAGTGAGTTTGAAGAAGTTCAGCTCCTAGAGCCTGTCTGCCATCAGCTGTTTGAACTCTATCATAGTTCTGAAGTTCGACTTAAGAGGTTCACACTGCAGTTTTTGCCAGAGTTGATGTGGGTTTATTTACGGCTTACAGTTAGCTGAGACAGACAGAGTAATGGTTGCATTGAAGCACTTCTGTTAGGAATTTACAATTTGGAAATTGCTGATAAAGATGGAAACAATAAAGTTTTGTCTTTCACTATCCCTTCCTTATCCAAGCCTTCAATATATCATGAACCCTCAACGATTGGGTCCATGGCTTTGCCAGAAGGTGAGTTGTGTCAGCAAGACCTCATCAGAGTTGTTTATAGTGATCTTCATCCTCAGAGAGAAACGTTCACTGCCCAAAACCGGTTTGAAGTCCTGAGTTTTCTCATGCTGTGTTACAATTCTGCTGTCATGCACATGCCTGCCTCATCTTACCGGTCCCTTTGTCGGATGGGCTCCAGGGTTTGTGTGAGTGGGTTTCCACGGCAAGATGAGAAACACTGGCCAGAACTCTGTGGTCGAATAGCACTGGAGCCTGGATTTATGGTGCAGCTTCTCACAGGGGTTTACTACGCCGTGTATAATGGACAGTGGGACCTTGGCCAGGAAGTTCTTGATGATATCATTTACAGAGCTCAACTAGAACTCTTTTCTCAGCCACTACTGGTTGTCAATGCCATGAAAAACTCACTACCATTTGATGCTCCTGATTCCTCACAAGAAGGCCAGAAAGTCCTGAAAGTGGAAGTCACCCCAACAGTGCCGAGGATTTCTTGGACTGCAATCACAACAGCTTCAATCCGTCGGCACGGATGGAGAAGAGAAGATGGCTTTGACTTCTCAAACGAGGCTGACACGAGTATTCCTGGCTCCCCGATCCAACTCGGCTCCACTGACCTAGGGATCAAACGTGTGCAAGACGGGGAGGTGCTGGTGCGCAGGAGCCCTGAGCACAGCTCGCCGGAGCCCAACTCAGCAGCAGCCACAACAGAGGCTGCTGAAAGTATAAATGGAGAAGAGTCTGTAAACCTGAATGATGCAGATGAAGGGTTTTCATCAGGGGCCTCCCTCAGCAGCCAGCCAGTAGGGACCAGAGCATCCTCCTCTTCTCAGAGGGGAAGCTTGCGCAAAGTAGCAACTGGGCGTTCAGCCAAAGATAAAGAAGCAACTTCCACCACCAGATCCAGTGAGAGCCCTCGAGAGTCAGTCATGTGCAAACAGTATGGACAGCAGCCAACTGACCTTAGTGTAGATTCAGTTGAGCTGACACCAATGAAGAAACACCTGAGCCTGCCTGCTGGCCAGGTGGTGCCAAAAACCAGTAGTCTGAGTCTAATCCGGACAGCCAGTGCTTCCTCAAGTAAATCCTTTGACTATGTAAATGGCAGTCAAGCTGGCACCAGCATCGGGCCAGGACAGAGGGAGTCACCAATCTAGCAGCTAACAGTGCTAACCGATACTCAACCATCAGCCTCCAGGAAGACCGGTTGGGTCAAGCTGGTGATGGGAAAGAGCTCCTCAGCCCAGGAGCCCCCTTAACCAAGCAGTCCCGCCCCCCAAGTTTCAACATGCAGCAGATATCCCAGGTGTAGCTTCAACAACCTCTCTGCTCTTTCTGCTTTCCTTGTAACCGAACGTTTCATTGTGCAAGAAGACACTTCATCCCGCGTTGTGAAAATACTGGTCATCACAATCAGATTTGAGTTGGTTTAGTTAGATATTCATACTGTATTTTGTATGAAAACAGCAATAAGGTTTTTTTTCTCTCCTTCCCACATCTCCTGTGCCTGTTCCTTGTAAGTGTGTTGTGAAGCGGTGTAAAATGTTTGCCTTTCCATGCCTTCTCTTCTCCTTGGGTGATGTGCAATCCATAGCGGGTGGATCAGTCCCATTTCAACACTGTGAGACTGAGGGTATGTTAGAGGAAATGCTGGATATGATCCCTATGAAATGATTCTTTAGCTTTTGTTTAAAAACAAAACAAAAACGGGTTTATTTACATACTCTATAGAACTATGAAGATGACTGGATCATATTTTTTCTCTTAACCAGGAGTGTCTCAGAGATTCTGCTGTGACTTTGGACTTCTCTGAGTCTGTGCAGTCCTTTTCTCAAGAAGCACGGGAAGGTGGTGGACTGCTGCACTTTTTCATTAAAATGAGGGTGGCGCTCTTTTCCCATTTCCTTTATCCCGATGATATAAATGTTCAATTACTAAGGCATTTAAATCAATTTGAGCCCCACCTCCTTTGAGGGTGGGGCTCTTAAATTGATTGTGTAATTGATATGCACTTTCTCAGTGGCTCTCTAGTCATTAACATGTCTTCCCTCTTCCCACAAAGGTTTAAGGTCATTTTTCTCCTTAAAGTTTGAACAGCTGACAAATCAAAATCCAAGGGGCATGTTCTGCTTCCAGGAATGATTGACTCCGTGCTGCAGTTTGGGGGAGGGGGGGATGGGGTTTTGTTTAGTGTGTGAGGGAAGGTTTTGATTGTTTTGCTTTTTTCTCTTTTGTGAGCTGATGATGACTGAAGTAGAATTGTATGTCTTCAGGTAAAGAGAGGGATTTCTCAGTCCATTTTCTGTGATGTCAGACAACTGGAGAAACCCTTTCAGCTGCTTTCTAGATGTACCTAAATTCAGTCAAATGTTTTGGATTAAGAAACTGAAGGTCCTGAAAGATCATATGTTCTAAGGAAATATATCAGGGACAGATAATTGGCTGAAAACACTGATGCTTCAATGTGACACATTTTTATAGAACATTTCTACCAGGGGATACTGACTTGATTTCTCCTGTAAGGACCACACTGCCTTTGTGTTTAATGTAATGCAATCTGGGTATCTTCTAATCATATACCTGCAGAGTTTCTTGTTTTTATAAAACTTGGAAATCACACCAGGAAGCTAGATATTGAATGTATGTGAGTAGCATTGGTACCTGCTAAGAGGCTCTAAAGTACATTACTGGTTAAAAAAGTTTTTATTTTGATTTGGGTAGATAGCACTTTATTATAACCTCTTTTGACTCTCAGGCTCTAATGTTTGGAAAAAGAAGGGAATATATTATACTTTTGGATATCAGTATTTAACTTGAACTTCTGTAAATTTTCCTTCCACAAATTACAATGGAATGCTTTGTACACTTAACAGTTTCATTTTATTATTGTGAAAGAAAAAGTGTATAGAAAGCAAGTATTCTAATAGAGTTTAAAATTTTATCTCTGCCAATTTAAACTTAGAGTAGGCTTTGATAATAAAATAACCAGAAAAATGGTTTTTGCTTTTTCATACTTAAAAAAAATCTCTCTCCCTTTTTTTAATTAAAGAGCATTTTTCTTTTTTTAAAAAAAAAAAGGGGGAGGTAGATGGGGGACTTTATGTTGGACTCTTCATAAGAACAATGAGGTACCTGTTCGAATTTGGTAGTCTGTAACTTATTTCAGCTCATATAAAAATGGAAAACTAGTTTGAACTAGTGTACTGAGTACTGCCAAAATCCAAGGTAAAGCTAAAAGTTGATAGGTGATTTATTGATTTGTGTGTGTGTGTGGTATGTATACATGTAGATCACAAAGACATTTGAGATATCCCTTATTTCTTTTCATTTTACTATGGGATGTCAAAAAATGAAAAGAATTTTAAAACAGCCAAAATAAATGAGGTATATGAATGTACCACATACTAAAGAAGATAAGGTTTCAGGAACACAAGGTAAGGAACATTGTACTTACTAGGAAGTGAGATCTTGGCTGTGGCCAAAGGTTGGTCATTTTATGGCAAAAAATACCAGGTAGGCTAATGGCTGTTTTTAATTCAACAAATTGTGTGTATAGTGGCATCTAAGTTAAGGATTTTAGTTAAAGCACAAAAGAACAAAATTATAGCAAAAGCTGTAATAAACATGATAAATACTCTCTTTAGTTAAGAATCTTACATTATACCTGAAAAGCTAGTTTTAAAACGTTTTTAACTTAAAAGATTTCATTTATCTCTATGCATGTACATAAGAGGTTTTGTATATGCCCATAACCGTTAGTGTTTCATGGCCTTGTAGTAATTATTTTCCATTCTTTCAGTTTATGTGATTTGGCACCAGTAACGAAACATTTCATTTGGTTTAAACTTTGCATTCAGGGTCTTAGATTTGCTGTGCATGATATGGTGAAAATGAAATGAGTTAGTTTAACAAATTGTTAAATTTTCTAAATTTTAAAAAATATCTCTGCA